CATCGCTGCCTACGCCGACGGCCAGAGGCCCGCGCATCTACATTTTTTCGCCTGACCCCATCAGTGCCGACCCAACTACACCACCACGCGCATGCCTCGCGGCGGATATGCGCAGCAGCAAGAAGGTTTCGGTCATCCCTTGAGGGTGAATCTAGCCCTGCTCGCCAGAAAGACCCCCCCCTTCACTACAACCCATGTCTAAGCAAAAGCTTGTCGAGGAGCGAGGGGAAGAAGGGAGAAGTTAATTAATATTAGTAGTATGGGGTTCGAGGTTAGTTTGGAACAGCTCTATCTATATATAGCTAGCTGTAGTGCCGATCCAAAATTCTAGATCACGGCATCGCAATCTGTGGTGCCCAAACTACACTGTCCCCGAACGCCAGTGATTTAAATGTACCTTCTAGACCGCGACAGCGTTGCAAAGTCTGGCCGGAGGCGCCGTGACGACACAAAAATGGAGACGTGTCCGTCTTGTTTTCGATGTGCTCATTGCGCCGCCGCCAACTACTCGTGCAATTAGGGGTCGATTCTAGGTGACCTTTGCAGACCCGTGGAGGGCGAAATGATGCTGATCCAAAATTCTAGATTTTTGCATTGAGTTCTGTGGTTGTTCTTCTGCCGTGGGGCGAAGTCACGAAGGACGTAGTCCCGTTTTCGGATCGCGACGGCCTGCGGAAGTTTGCCACCAAGAGAGCTGAAAAACAGGGCGTTCGCAACAGCAACAGCATGATGAAGCAAATCTCGAGCAAAAAGCAAAATCACGGCGTGAAACCTGCTTGCGGTCGTAGGTTGGAAGTATGTTGGACTGGTCTTCTACCAGACAGTCTCATGGAGATCCACGGTCTGTGTTAGTAGTACCAGTGGTGGCTAATAGGGTGACCTGGGGTGGGCTGAGCATGTGAGCAGCAAAAATTCAGAGATTCTCTCTCTGTTACTGATGATCACCACCACATCGAACGAACTCCTCGCGTGTCAAGCGAGTCCGACCCTCTGTCGAGAGGGGCCGCTATCCTATGGAGGCGGTCCACATGAACGATGAACCAGCGAGCGTTGTTGGTGGTTTGGTTGTGGTCATGTATGTGCGGTACACGTTTTTTTCTGCGGGTTTGATGTTGGAGCGTCGGGCGTCGGGATTATATGATGACCATTTATTTCTGGGTACGTACGAAATCGACCTCTCTTTCGGGTACACCACAGTAACCAATATCGGTCACACCAGAGGGTCCTAATTCCAGCGGCAGTTGCACCTGATGGAGGTTTCTCACGACATGGGCACAAACGGTTTTTCGGCCAATCAGCTGACAGCCTGGGGGCGCAAGCGTGTTGATTTCTGACTGTACCCTAAAGTGGTGATGAAGTACTACGCGGATATACCCGTTTCTGGTTATTGGTAAAAAAATATGCTGACAAAAGTATACTGGGTTGATTGGTTTCGCCGCGACCTAAGGCGGATGCTGTCGGAGATTGGTGTCGTGTTGATTTCCAAGTGTACCCTGAAATGGTGATAATCTACCCTGTTATACCCGTTTCTGGTTACTTGTCTATTTTTTTCATTTTCCATGTGCTGCTGCAACGCAGGTGGCTCGTCGAGTAAGGTGGGAGTGTACCGCAGGCCCCTTTTCCCGGAAGAGAAACGCCTGCGGCAGAATCCCCGGGAGGTGTTTCCACCACATATTACTGTACTTAAAAAGAGTGCAGCACCTATGCATTGTTTCACATATATATAGTATAGCATACCTTTCGCTTTGGCTGCGGCAGACAAATCTCCGCTTCACTGAATCAGTGGGGGGGGTACTTCAACGTCGATACCACGGAGCCCCAGGGTGAGGATCATCCACATCCACACCAGATCCACACCTTTTGCAAGCGTGTTGTATGATATGTACACTTTTATGCATTCATAATAATCTCTGAGCCATGCAACTAATGTTAATATTATTAGACTATTGCTGATGAACCAATTCACGCCGAGGCTTCTATACAGCACAACAACAAGCCGCTGTACCGAGCTACATATTCGGTAGTAGTAGGTAACACGAGGGGGGTGCTTGTGCGTGCTTACAATATAAGCAGCTTGAAACTGAAGCCTCCCAAAGCCACTATTATTCATTATTGGTGCAACGAAGGGTGTGTGTGCGGGGTGTTCATTCAGGCAACACAGACTGCCCCTATCATGCCACCACCAAGCAAGATGCTACAAATGCACTTAGATAGGGCACTACAGCAGCAGCAAGAGGTAGAAAATGTCACTGCCGGGCAAATACGCCATCAATGTCTTCCTGCAAAGCACTTCCTGCGCGGACGACGACAACCAGATCTTGGGGTCTCTTGCCCGCAAGTTAAGTATAGTCCTATGGATTTTGTAACTGACAAACTATCTATGCACACAGCAGCAAGACAGTTACACGCTGACTATTAGTAGGGTCTACAGCCACAGCCAATACCATCACAGCAGGGAGTGCGACAAAAAAAAACTCCAACAATAAATCCTTTTGAAAACGGTCACGGTCGTTGTGCCAGCTCTCCGATTCCCACGGTAGCCAAATTCCGAGTAGGCTCGCACACACTTTTTTTTTGTGGTTGCGCGATTCAGTCAACACTCGCATCACCTTTAATGTACTAGACTACACATTGCCAGGATGTTAACCCACCATAAACATGGTACTAAAATAATCATTCACCAAAGAACAGGTTCGCAGCCAAGAATCCTACGAGTACACCCTCACCTATTTATGTGGTCGATGTTGGGTTTACCCGTCAAAGAGAAATGTTTGTGGTGTCGGCGCGTGTGCTATGTAACAGTTATCACGCTCGCGGGCTCTTGTCGAGAGCGTTTGTGCACAAAGGATTGACTCAAGTTCCTTGATTATTAACGAGTGACAAGCATGAGCAACAGGCAAGAAGGACCGGCTGCTGCACACACGTCTGCATATACCCAAACCTATCATATCTGCGTACCCCCTCGGATATCTCGGAGATCTGTATCCTGCCGAGTACATACACAAACAGCCCCCCTACTCGGTACGAGATACGATCTACGAACCTTCCGTACATATCGCCAGGTAAAACGGCAACAAAACCAAAACCATTCATCTTTCATATCCACAAATCATCTCAACTTCCCGATCTATTGAATATTCAAATTTCAAGTTACTATTCCTCCTTAATCCACTATGTATGTTGGAACTTCACTAGAGTCTTAACAATCATCCCTCTCGAGAAAATGTCGTCACCAAATTCTCAAGCAGCCAAAAACCAAGAATCATCCTTAGAAAAATACTCCGCAAAGATCAACATTACATCAGAGTCACGTCATAAAGACTTTGGACGGACAACTCCGGAAAAACGTGTCAACTATTACTTCGGACAAGATCCTCGCACAAAACCATGTTTCAGCTCATTGACCAATCTCAAATAAGCTTCGGAAGCACATAGGCCTCAACCATGTCTTACCAAAATATGCCAATTCCTTCCTTCAATATATCATTCAGAAAAACCAAAATACCAAATACGGCAAAAGAGACAAAGGTTAAAAACCCGGCGCATATTTAAACGCCAGAGGAAACTTTCACCAATTAAGCCGTTTCTCAAACAAAGAGACAACATCAATTTCTTAGCAGCCCCTGGCCACAATATCTCCCAAAACATAAAAACTTAACAGCCCTCCTGCTGCAATAACTCCCGAAACAGAAAATGCAAGCCATCCAGTATTTCGTCTGGATTGCAAGAAACAGAATACAAAACATATACCGATTGACATCTCCCCTTCAACATATCTCCGACCATGGAACTCAATCCGTCCTACAGCAATACATGCAAGGCACAACTCTCGAATACTAACAACGAGAAAACAAACAAATATCATGAACTTATCTCCGAAAGCCGCAGGTAAAACGCGGAATCGGAAACAAACAAGAAATTCTCCTCATTTTCCGCAGGTAAAACGGGGAAAACGTTTACAAAATGAACAAAAACCAAACCCGAACGTCTGCTAGAACGCTGCTTGTACTGCGACGAGGATCATGGCATCACAATCACATTCATCCCCCCCCATGATTTTCGACAGCAGTGCTAGCAGTGGTCCAACGATGTCAACTGAACCATTCGGCGTGCTGAATTCTTAGATTATCCAAACTCAATGCCCAACATATGAAAATCACAATGTAACCAACCATGCGCATCGCAACTCTAAGTCTACGTCGACACAGTTCTCAAACTCATGGTTTTCGACATGAAACAAAACAAAACCAAACCTAGAAGTAACCCAAACACAATAATTCTCACAAACGTGCCTGAACCGCGCGTAGATCCAGAGCTGCGTCGTTGCAACCATCGGTCATCCCCCACTGGAGCTCCCGATCACGAAGTCTCTTACTTCCTCCTCTGGAGATCCCGATCACCAAGTCTCTCACTTCATGCCGCACACTTCTGCCACGATCGATCCTCCCTTCCTGGCATTACCCCCCATCGTCCCGCACGACGTAGATGCCATTGCTCACGGTCGGATGGGCGCCGGGATGCCTTGCACCGGCGGACAACGCCCCGATGCCGCCGTCACCGCTGCCGTCGCTACTGTTGCCACCTTCGTCGCCATGGCCCAACCAACAGCTATCCTCATCGCACTCGTCCTCCGGCTCTTGCGCTGCTGACGCTTTAGCCGCAATTCCCTGCGTCCCAACCGGCTCCCACACCGCCGCCGCGGGCAAGACTCTGCTGCCGGCGGTCGCCGCTCTCGCCGCCGGTGCTGCCGTCCATGCCGCTGCTCCCGCCGCGAGTGCCTGCGCCCCGGCCGTCTCCCCTGCCGCCGCCGCGGGGAAGACTCTGTTGCCGGGGGTCGCCGCGCTCGCCACCGGTGCCGCCGCCGCTCCCGCCGCTCCCGCCGCGAGCTCCTGCGCCTCAGCCGCCTCCCCCACCGCCGCCGCGGGGAAGACACTGCCGGGGGTCGTCGATCTCGCCGCCGGTGCCGCCGCCGATGCCGCCGCTCCCGCCGTGAGCCCCTGCGCCCCAACCGTCCCCGCCACCTTCGCCGCGGGGAAGACTCTGCTGCCAGGGGTCGCCGATCTCGCCGCCGGTGCCGCCGCCGATGCCGCCGCTCCCGCCGTGAGCTCCTGCGCCCCAGCCGCCTCCCCCACCGCCGCCACGGGGAAGACACTGCTGCCGGGGGTCGCCGATCTCGCCGCCGGTGCCGCCGCCGATGCCGCCGCTCCCGCCGTGAGCTCCTGCGCCCCAGCCGCCTCCCCCACCGCCGCCACGGGGAAGACACTGCTGCCGGGGGTCGCCGATCTCGCCACCGGTGCCGCCGCCGATGCCGCCGCTCCCGCCGTGAGCTCCTGCGCCTCAGCCGCCTCCCTCACCGCCGCCGCGGGGAAGACACTGCCGGGGGTCGTCGATCTCGCCTCCGGTGCCGCCGCCGATGCCGCCGCTCCCGCCGTGAGCACCTGCGCCCCAGCCGTCCCCCCTGCCGCCGCCGCGGGGAAGACACTGCTGCCGGGGGTGGCCGATCTCGCCGCCGGTGCCGCCGCAGATGCCGCCGCTCCCGCCGCGAGCTCCTGCGCCCCAGCCGTCCCCCCCACCGCCGCCGCGGGGAAGACACTGCTGCCGGGGATCGCCGCTCCAGCTGCAGGAGTTGCTGCCGCCCTCGCCGCTCCAGCTGCAGGAGTTGCTGCCGCCCTCGCCGCTCCAGCCGCTACCGCCGGCACCCCGGGAGGTGCCGTGACGTCCACCACTGCTCCGCTCCCCCACGTGGGCACCTCTCCAACAAAAGGCGCCCGACGATAGCCCCATGTCACATCGGCGGAGTAGCTGCATACCCCGGAGGAGAGGAGGACCTTGGTGCGTAGTGGACGAGTGGTTGTTGCCGGTGTTGAGGTAAAAGCAGCGCTCCCCCTTCGATTCGGTCTTGTTCTTCCGGTTGTGGTGACGGTAGCCGGGCATCATGAACGGCAGGGGAAGAGTCGTGGCACGTCGCTTGTAGAGCTTCTCCCACGGGCACAGTTTGTCGGGTGTGTGAGCCTGCGCGGTCATGTTGAGGGAGTCGTTCATCCAAGCCAGCGCCTCCGGCCAGATTGTCGTCCACGACATCGCCTTCCGAGGGAACTCCAAATCCGGGAAGAGCCGCGGAAACTCCAACCACGCCACCTTTCCCCCTTCGACGACAAGCGCGATTTTCCGCTCAGCACGCCCGTTGCGCTTCGCACCATGGACGGGGGTGAATTCCACCGCAACCCCGAGCTCAGACAGCAAGTGCCGGAACTCGGCGTTGGTGAACTCGGTCCCGTTGTCAAAGCGGGCAACGCCCAACCCACCGTGAGCCATCGCCAGCTGCTTATTGTCGACGTACCACGCGCGAAAGGCGCCGGACAGAGTGGAGCCGCTCTTGTCCGCCAGAAACAGCGTCCACCCGACGTTGGAGTAGTCGTCGACCACCATCATGCAGTAACGGGCGCCGCCGGTGGACGGCGGGTACGGGCCCGTTAGATCGATGAACACACGCCCAAACGGCCTACCCGCCTTGGTTTGCGGCTCCTTCGGGACACTACGCCGGATAGCCTTCGCCTCACCGCAGCCAGCGCAATATCCCCGGGTACCCGTAATTTGAATCCCCAGCTGCTTCGCGGTCTCCCGCGCGTTCGCGTCGTTGGTGTGGCCAAGTGACACGTGCAAGTCGTTGATGTCGATGCTCCGGGGCCGCCCTGGCCGCACTGTCGCCGCCACCATCGCTGGGGGGGAGGCGCCATGTGCAACGCGAGTAGCCTGAACGTAGTTGCCGGTGGGGAGCTTCGAAAAATGCACACGGCCGCCGAGAGTCTAGGCACCCGAGCTATTCAGGAGAAGGGGGTGGGTCTCCTGGATGACGTTGAAGGAGACGAGATCAAAAGCAAGACCAGGCACGACCGCTATGTCCTTCAACGTCACCAGCACATCCGTTCTGCAGTGGAACACCAGATCAAGAGACCCAAAACACACCTTCAACTTGCGGCCGTCACCGATGAGCAAGAATTCCTCCTCGGCGAGAGGAGGGCGAGTGTTGTAAACGTGGGTCCCATCGCCAGTTCCATGAACGGTAGACGCGCTATCACCAATCCACATAGTCGATCCAGGACGGTGACCCGGGAAAATTGAGGACATCATGTCACGGGCAGAAAGAGCACTCAGGGCAAACTGTAGGGCGAAGAAATGCCCCCCAAGATAGTACGGCGCGTTACCAGCTGGCCCCGAGCCTCCAAAAGTACAGGAGAGAAATCCACCGTCTGCTCCCCCCGCGGTACCTTCATCCCCCGTTGTCGCAAAGCCCTCAAACTCACCACCGCTCTCAAGCTGCACTCCATCACTGCTCCAACCGGTCCCACCCGCTCCAGCGACATCGCCAATGCCCAGCTGCTGTTGCTGCTGCGGCGGCTGCGGTCCTTCCGGCGGTTGGTAAGTCTGCCACTGCTGCTGCTGCTGCTGCTGCTGCGGGGGTTGGGGGTGTAAAGCATACTGCGAAGCGGTGTGTGTGACAGCACCTGTGAGGGTCCCGTATGTCGAACCATCGCCCTGCGGTTCCCATGCCACACCAACCCCGTCACCTTCTACACCGCCACCCTTGTCTTGTTGAGGGTACACCACCCCCGTTCCACCGACGTTGGGAGCTTGTTCGAAAGTGACGACGTTGACGTGTGGCTTCACGCGAGGGGAACCGACGACCGTAGCGCACACACGACGCACATGACCGTACTCACCACATGCGGCGCAGTTGCCCTCAAACCTGCGCGGCGCATTGCACGAGCTCAAGGTATGTCCATGGCGCCCGCACCTCTCGCATCGATGAACAGCACCCATCGGAGCGCCTGCCGGCGGAGGCGACTCCTGCCGGTAGACGGCGTTGCGTCCGCAGTCGAAAAGACCTCCAGGTCCCCAAGTCGGGTGGTTCGGAGGCGGATGATGCGGAGGGGGGGGTTGCGGTCGAACATGCTGCCCCAACGGCCGCTGTTGCTGCTGATACTGCTGCTGTGGCTGCTGTAGCGGCTGAGCGCCGAAGTGGTGTTGCTGCGGGCTCGCTGCCCACCGCCCTGTACCATGCTGCTGACCACGTCCACCACCAGAAAAACCGCCGCCTCTCCGAGCGCCGCCGCCCTGGCTGCCGCCGCCGCTGCCGCCGCCGCCGCCTCCGCCGCCGCCACCACCGCCACCGCCGCCGTTGCCGTTGCAGGATCGAAAACAACCAACAGCAAGTGCGTGGGGGTCTTGGCTCGGCTGCACCGTCGCCGCCGCAGACGCCTTCGTCTTCTCCAGCTGCTTCGCGACAGTGTTGGCATAGGCCTTTTTGACGATTCTCTCCACGTTCGCGCGAGAAATATCGGCGACGGACAGGGTGGACCTACGCTCGACATCATGCTCGGGTGCAAGCTGGCGGATAATTATTCGCACAATTTCCCGCTCTGATTTCTCAAGGCCAACAGCTCGCATGGTGTGGATAATTCCATCGACTCTGGCAAAGAAAAGCTTCGGGTTTTCGCCAGGCGTCATCTCAACGGTCTCCAGCCGCCGCACAAGCAGCTCTTGTTCAGCATCACTAGTTGGCAAAGACCACTCACGAATAGCGTCCCACGCCTCCGGCACACAGCTGCACGAAAACAACTTTTTTTCGATGTCAGAACCGGATGTTTCCTCCAACAGGTACCCCCATGCCCGCTGGTGAGCTGACACCACATGCATTCCGTGAGTGCGGTTCAGGTCCGTCTAGGCCGCTGATTACGTTGATGTATCCTGTAGCTGGCATGTGATCAAGGATTTGCTCCAAACCCTCGGTGGCGAGGAAAGCCCGCATCCGACGTTGCCAACTCATGAACTTGCTAGCTTCGGTCGGGTGCTTCGGCGGGGTGCGTGTACCACCAAAACGACCGGGCATAAAATGGCTACCACCGTCAGCCATGCTCACCGGTTGGGGACCGAACCCTGCTCCGCCAGCTGCCCCAGCACGCGCCGCACCTGCAGCCGTAGCCCTGGCTGCTTCCTCCAACTCCCTCACCTTCTTTTCTTTCTCCGCCTCTTCTCGTGCCTTCTTCCTCTCCTCCTCGGCCTTCTCCATCTTCTGCTGTAACTCAGCCAAGCTCTGTTTCAGCTCTTCGTTCTCCTCCATGTCTAAATCTACTTTACTTCTTGTTCTTGTTGCCAGACTTGCTCTTGTTCACGTAACTGGATCTCCTTGGCACGCTTACCGCTGCTGCCCTTGTATTCCAAATGCTGTCCCTGGATCTCCTTGGCGCGCCTGTCGCGGCTGCCCTTATTCTAAACTCTGCGGATCTCCTCGGCGACGCGCGCGGGTCCTCCCTGCTGCTGCTGCCGCCCTTGTCTTCCGGTGCCTACCTCCCGAACCTTTCCCAACCGACGTCTGCAGACTTATCGTGAGTGTACCCTCAACAAGACAAGGGTGGCGGTGTAGAAGGTGACGGGGTTGGTGTGGCATGGGAACCGCAGGGCGATGGTTCGACATACGGGACCCTCACAGGTGCTGTCACACACACCGCTTCGCAGTATGCTTCACACCCCCAACCCCCGCAGCAGCAGCAGCAGCAGCAGCAGTGGCAGACTTACCAACCGCCGGAAGTACAGCAGCCGCCGCAGCAGCAACAGCAGCTGGGCATTGGCGATGTCTCTCAATAAGCAACACGATTGCTTACACCCAGCGGTATGGTTACGCGAACCAGAACCCGCACAAAGTACAAATTCTTGATACTTAACAAGAATAAGCTTTGACACATCATTGATTGACATCAATACATGGTAGCTTGTACGAGCCTTGGAGAGATTAAATCCGTACGGTGTTGTTTTCAACACGTGTGTAGTCCACACGGCACTGTCAGCTGTCTTCGGATAGTGAGGGAGAGATTTAATTTTCGAAGAGCTGTATCTGGATCCAATGATACATCCATACCTGCTCCACTACAAGAAACATGCAAGCATGCATGTATGTGCGCCAAAACCCAACTTCAACAAGCTGAGCATTCGGCGAAGAAAAAGGGGGGCTGTGTGGAGGTCAGGTTATGGAGATTCAGGGAGCACAGATACACGTACATAAAGAGTAGGATCTGAGGGAACAAGTGATAATGGATTACTGTTCTCCGAGGGTCCCCAACTCTTATGACCCCCAACGGCTGCGAAGAGTTGATGGATCTTTAGGAAAATGGGAAAAGGAGTCCACGAAGGCTCGCCCACTCTCCGCACCACCCTAGCTTGACTGAGTTCGCTCGGTCACGCTTGGCATTCCTCGCCACATTGCACCAAAGGAAACAGCCAACCTCCGGTGGCAGGACATAGCCACCACAACCCCAGACTCTCCGCTCACCCAGAGTAAAGAGCATCCATAGTACCCGTAATTTGAATCCCCGGCTGCTTCGCGGTCTCCCGCGCGTTCGCGTCGTTGGTGTGGCCAAGTGACACGTGCAAGTCGTTGATGTTGATGCTCCGGGGTCGCCCTGGCCGCACTGTCGCCGCCACCATCGCTGGGGGGGAGGCGCCATGTGCAACGCGAGTAGCCTGAACGTAGTTGCCGGTGGGGAGCTTCGAAAAATGCACACGGCCGCCGAGAG